CCGTTTTCATAAATCCACCCTCCCTCCCAAAACATATTTTTTTCTATTTGATTGAAAAGCTTATAAATTCGTAGCGTAGTTATTTACTTTTCAATGAATCGATCCCAAAGTTATATACGTTTGTTATTCAGTTGCATGACTATTTAAATGTTAAAACTTGTGCACATTAATATTGCCTTAATTGAGCTCGAACATGAAGCTACGATGGAACATGAAGCTACCACGATGGAACAAAGAACATTTCACTTCACAATAGCACCAGAACCACCATCGCCCTCCATCAGTACCGTGTTAAAGTGATATAAGATTGGAATCCATTAATCTAAGTGATCACACGATATCAAAAATTGACAAGCTTAATGGATCAAAGAGTGCCACTCAAAAGTGTAAAAAGCCTTTGAAATAAACCTGCAAACCTTAGCCTTTGTGAATTCACACAAGAGACTAAGATTCAGAAAGTTTTATAGCCTAGGGAATCCACCTAACGTCTAGAGAAACAAGAGAACAAAGCAAAAGAACTTAAAAGTACAAAGAGCTTAAGCTTTTATGGGCTTAGCTGAGCTAGACCACCAACGGTCAGAATGAACTAAAAAAGAAACAGATAAAATCGAAATAAATGTGAAAGATCAAAGGAAAAAGGCTCAGATTATATAGCTGTTAGACTTAAATGAGCTCATATTAAACTAGAGATTCTTTGTATCTGGAAATTTTTGGTAGATAGTATAGTACTGGTGTCTTTGAAACCTATTGTCACATATGGTTTTCAAATCAGCTGTTGGTTAATTACATCAGTTGGAAAGAGCCGTTGGGCATTGATGGCTCTCTTTCTCTCCATATAAGGTAAGTAGAGGTGCAGCTGGATCCTTGTGTTCAAGTGGGTGCTAGTGCAGCTAAAGATGTTATGGACAGCTCCTAAATAGCAGGGCAAGTCTCATGGATTCGAAGGATATATTTATCTTGATCACTTTATGAAAATGTCCAAATAAGGCAAGTTCATGATCTTTGGTTTAGAAAATTAATAACTTCCAAACCAAAATCGATCGTGTCATGAATCCAAT